TATATATATATATATATATATATATATATATAGCAGGATCAAGTGTTATTAAAACGGCAAATATGTTCGAACGGTGGAGTTTAGACCTAGAACCTTGAGTGTGCCTCAACAACAACTTAAACTATTTGACCGCTATGATGCCCTCTGATAAGCACAACAAATGCGTACGGTAATACGCAATAATTACCGGTAGTCCGACTCAAATGAGGCTTGAAAGGTAATCATTTGTGAGTAACTGGATACCACGATAATCTTTCGGGCATTCAAGATACAAACGTATGAAAGGAATTTATTGGGGTAGGACCTACCGATTCGTATGCTAGCAGTCGATAGGCCAACCGTGCATGTTGTGGTAACGAAAAAACCACAATAGCCGTAATTCCGAGCGGGGGTACAATCACCCGTTTCGGTCGGATCGGTTCGCGCGGATCAGACTGAGCTCGGGTGCGTGGATTTGTGTACTGTCTGATCAGACCACGAACTTCAGTTTCCGTTGTACCGACTGGCAGGTTTTTTACCAGGAATGCCGTCCCCGAAAGTTGCCGTGTGGTCGCACCAGACTGTGCTTCCAATCGGTCACGGCGACCTTGTGTGAAATCACCAGTCTCCGCACGCGTGGAATCGAATGCCTTCGGATCGATACCATGTTGCTGGAGGAACTCGCGCATCTCGGTCACCAGCTGAGCTTCCGCATGAGCTAATCGAACAGCGACAGAGCCGCCACGTTCGGTCGAATTTAAAACTTGTTCCTGATAATCATAAAAATGCATTTGTGAAAGTCTTATCATAAATTTCGATATTGATGAATAAAGTAGTAGGAAACACTAACTTGAAACAGCTATCAGTATTAACATGGTATTCCTGAACTCGTCATAGTCCACGAAGATAGCTTGAATGACCAATGAAACGCATTACAAGTTGCGAGTATTTTTATAATAACCAATGGAAACATCTTATCAGATGCAGGAACTTTTAACAGGAGTGGAAATCGGGTATAAGAGATGGGAAGAACCTAATCAGGGGAATCGTACACTTTTTGATATAACCAGATGAGTTGGTGCTAGCTGTGAAATCTGATCCTTCCTGAATGGCCAGTGGGTAGAAGCAAAACGAAGCTGTCTCACAAGGTCAGCTGATCGGGCACCTGGCCTCCTATGACTATCCACTTTCGTCTCTGGAGACGTTACTCCAGCAAATAAACACGATGAGGAGCAGTCAAAAAGTCCTGCTAGATGAACGTAGGAGCGTGGTACCTGGGGCCTCCTCTCGACGGTGGGAGAAGTATCGGCATTTCATTCGATAGCTACCGCCCGCCCCAGCTGGGCAGCCCCCAACTAATAGGATGGTGTCCCGTTCACGTTTCGCTTGTTTCATTGTTTGCATGAGATTAAGGGCCGAATCCGAACCGCGAACCGTCAGTCAATGCACCAGCGAACAACAAACTGAACCGAAACCCGAAGACCTCGCGTTACATGTGTCTAGAAACTCCCATACAAGTGCTTCTCTCTTGTATTTACGCCCCGCTGTCTTGCGGGTCAGATTTTTGAGTCAAAAGATCCAATCAGGGTTTCCGAAGAAAAACCCCTTCGTCGATGTGGGCCACCGCAAGGTATGTTGTGTCTTGTAATGTTTGACAACCCATTTATCATCTATCAAGTTCTTTACCTCACTTCCGAATTCTCAACCAATAAAAAGTAACAGCGTTGATAATTACGTTGCTAATTAAGAAGAACGTAGCAGTTCGGTCGAACCGATGCGTTGTCTCAAGCAAATGACGTGCGATGGAAGAGGCTGGTGTCTGTCTGACCGGTGACCTTTGACCTGTTTCCCACTGGTTGACAAAAGCGTCCATCCACCGTGGGACATATTCAGTCACTTTCAGTCGAAGTTGCCGTTCAGTTCGACCTAGATAGGTGGCCGAGCACCCGCATGTGATTTGAACATATCAATCTTCACTTCACTTCTTCCGCAAAATGGGCAGTCAGGAGACAGGTGAATAGAAAGGCTATCTGTGATACTTGTCTAAGGACTTAATTGCACATTACTTGAGTATGGTTGGCAAAAAGATATGAAAACCTGCACCACTTTTGTATCGTTCCTACACATCGTTTTCCAAATAGAGACCGGAGGCAGCGCACAACTATAGGAAATTGGGTTGTGCGAGCTTGAAGTTAAACTATGTAGAGGCATATTGAACTTTTGATTGAGACTACAGAACAAATGAACGCACGTATACTTGCATCCCAACAATTATGGGCTGATGTATGATTTTAGCAGGATTAAGAAACGCTGTTAGTTAACACATCATAAAACCACAGGGCGAAAGATATTCACGAACCTTGGTTAAACCGAACTTGGCTGCCAAATAGGCGGCAACTGCGTCCGGACGAATGAACAGAGCATTCCAATTGTGAGCCACTCCGGCAGTAGCCTTCAAAGATTCTTGACGTGCTACCTGGAAGCTGGATCGATGCATGTCCGTCGTGGTATCTGCGTGCTTTTCCGAATCCCCATTCACAGTCGGTTTTGAGTGCGATTCTGGTGCATCCTCAGCCGGAAGAATGTGCAGTAGCCGACCCTGTGCATGTGGTTACAAATTTGTTCAAAATATTAAACTGGGGAAATGATAACTAAAGTTGATTCGGCTAACACAAGGTCTACAATCACAAACTGTTTATCAGGGACGTAGTAAATCCATTAAGTGTAACATATCCTCATTGCGTATGTTTGTAACGACCCGTCGGTTAGACGGTTCAATAAGCTAGGTCAGTGACTCGTAACAATTGGCTTGATAGCTGCGAAGTAACAATGTCATTCTACCTGCATAGAAGCGCACAGAGGGCATGCCGGGATTGATGTATAGGCACTGTTGATTATTTCTAACATCGACTCATTAGATGAGTTTAAAGTTCAGTACACTAGGCTTTCATTTAATTAAATATCAAACCCCATCGTGTAACTGAGGTAAAGGAGGAAAAAGTAATTAGGAAACTGACAGTCTTAGAAGAAATGGTAACAGATTGCAGAGTGGTCCCAATTGGTTGGCTTTCTGAGTGCCGGGGGGCGCTTTAACCATGCCAACATAATTTTCAAAAAGATTTTCAATACGACCAAACGACTGGATTAGCCACACACCGTACATCACTCTCAAGGAGTATAAATTTAAACATCAACTAAATAGGTTAGTAAGGGGATTGTACTGCAATGTATTTCACACACATCTGAGTTCAGACTGTGTGCAAAACAAATCACGGTACAATGATCTTTATAAAAAGAAAAATGTACCATGATTTGTTTATGGGCGGAATACTGCCACGTTGCCCAGGCCTAAGCATATGAATCGACTTCACAACCGGAGCATTTGGATAACCAAAGCCCGACGCGCAAGGCAATGAGGCGGTATAGAAAAACGGCAATCCATTCCGGACCGGTAGCCAGTTCATCGGACCACACGTTATTCGGACGGGAACAAACGTCCAAGGTGCCCGATTCAACTCAATACCCAATCGAAACAGTGACCACTACCACCACCAGTGTGTGTATGGTTCGTACATCTCTTCTTGGTTGGTTTGGAATCAGGGTTCTTTGGTGGATTGTCAGTGGTTCACTGACCCGGTTATGGCCCCGAATATTGGCTTTTTGTTCTCTCACTTTGGTATGGAAACACCTCCGCCGTGTGAAAGCAGTGAGTAGAGCTTCCTCAGCAGAAGCAAGTTGAGACGCTCGGTGGTATGGGAGTAGTTCGTGAGGTGAAAGAGAAGGGTGACCAGCCACAATCCGAGACACCTACTCTCGACCATAGTGAGGCTTTCGTTTTCGTACTAGTTTTATGCCAGTGTTACTGTAAGTTTGGAAGTTACTCAGGAAAGGGTTGATCTTCAATTTCGAACCGCTTTCCCTTGTAGTATATTCATGATTTGGTTTTATTTTTCCACTTGTGACCCAATCAGCGATTTCGCTCCCATCCAGAAAAGGATATCATACAAATAATGTTCAACTATAAGTTATTGGTCATATCAATTTTTAATTGTAAACCCAAATTATAACTCAAAGCGTTAATCATNTTTGGTAAACGCAGTTACAGCATCGGACGGAAATAGGTAAGTGACGAAGGCAAATCCTTTTGAAGCATTGTTTACTGGATCATAAGACAAGTGAATCTCTGATAGGGAGCCTGGACAAGATGAACCAGACAACTGATCGATTTAAAACCGGAATATATGTATAGAATTATCAATATGGATGAGTGAAGCAAAGCAAACTGTTGATCTTCGTCAAGTTTACAGTACGCATAAAGTAAAAATTGATATGAAGAGTGAATTGGAAATTAAACTGTTCAAGGGGGAGGACAGTCTAAATTGTGATAATACGCATCAACGTTTTCATATGAAGTGATGGCAAGAGTGAAGTGACAGGAAAGCACCCACTCTAAGGGCTGCTGGGTCCCCTTGGAGTATCCCACCGGTCTTTCGTCTCCATATCACGTTCAGCTTTTATCTACTTCTTTGAGAAGTGGCCCTACCCTTGCAAGCAGCTCGACCAGCGGAGTAAACCAAGTTTAGGGTGGCTGAGAAGCCAAAAAGCGTTTCTG